TTAAACAGTAGTATACTTTTTATTTAAATAAATTCAGTTCAGGTGTTTGAAGAAGTTATCTTGCACCCACTCATTCGTGTACCCGATGACTGTATACTCACACACAACACGTAACCTGCTCGTCGCTACAGGAGTGGGATGTCCAATTGGAAAGCAAGGACACGCGCACACTATTCGTAAAATGGCTCTTTCATCTTCACTTACAAATTACTTTAACTGCTTCAAAATACTCAAGACCGTAGAAAAGAAGACAATCAAGTGATATGACGTCAATATGATGACATTTTCAAGTACACGACACAATCTGTCCCCGAAGAAGAATCTCAAATACGATCATGAACGCCCCTTGTGTCGAACTTTGAAAGATACCGACAAATCGTTGTCTAGTTGGTTTATTATCTTGATATTCTATGAATTATGATTGTCCGCCATTGTGACCAAACTCACATGACTGTAGTGGCTTCAGCGAGTAGATATTTTGTAACAACTATAACTTTACACGTTCTAGAGATATCGAAATGATTCAGAAGGGTTGAATTTGATATCCATCGATACCCTATAAATGTTCAGATTACACGATGAAACCAGCTTTCATGATTTCCTTATTGCTCTGTGGGCGTATTCATGAAGGGGCAGGCGTGTATCGCATGTCATTCTGTCATGCCTACGATATCTGTCCGACATCAATCGCTTATTAACATAATTAATGTAATACTCTCTATTGATCGAATCGTTATTATATATACATGACATTTCACAATTGGTGCCCGAATACAAGACAGTTTGAAACGACTTGTTGTCCGTATCGCAGCACGTTAACGAGCTCTGTATTGCAGTAGATCTAGGTTCAAGCGTCTGGATATTTTGTCCAATTTAAGTGTTGTTTCTTTTAAAACAAAGCAAATTAAAAGGTAAGTATTTATGGTTATTTTAACATTGATGGTTATTCGATTGTAACGTACAGTGTTTTATGAATTGGCGTTTCTCAATTTTCTGCAATTTCCGGTCTATCGGTAACGCAAACACGAGCGCGTTAAAAACATACATTCAGTCATAATAAAACACTGATTAACTCTAGCTAATGCCAAATTGGATTTTGATTGTGTATATTGTGCAGAAAACGAATATACGTGTAAGAAAGTCGATCTATGTCATATTAACATTAATATATTCTTTAGTTTCTATCGATATGTTGTATAGAATGCCTTCTCGTATTGATAAGTTAATATATAAGCCAGTTCTATTCATCGCGCGAACCGATGTGGAATTTTAACAATATGCTTTCTGACGCACATACATGTACAAATGTTTATATAATATTTCTAAACATCATTTATGTGTGCTATATGTTTGATTGTTTAAACCAACTTGCAGGCACAGTGTTATAAGCCTACTAGTTGAGAGTCTATGAGATAGTGTGGATTCTTGGGAAAAACTATCGTGAAATACATTGTACATCATGTCCCATCTTTTATTAATGTTTTTGGTTTACATCGCGTCTCGTGTTAGATTATGAAGAGTCGCGCGAGTGGTACATTGTTGAGCACTCCCTCGAGATGAAAGAAACACGACTACTCGTTAAAATAATAGGATCGTTAGTGATGTGACACTGGCGATAATACCCAGTAATAGCTTCAGAATATCAAACATATTAGGTTAGATTAATTGAACATTACAATTAAAATATTACATTGTCTTTCTCTCGGCTGTGACGATAGATATATCAAGCAAAATAAGATTATTGAGATAAAAATACAAAACTGTTAAGGCATTTATATTTGATATTGATCTGAGAACTGAAAACGAGAACGAAACAAGGAACAAATACTGTATATAGTTTTATGTCGGTTGAATATATCATGGAATATTATTCTTTTCTTAATTTAGACACTTTCTTATTACTATATATGAATCACATGACGCCAGGCTGTCGGTGTTTTCCGCAAATACAAATACTGCGGATTAGTTATGTCCTATATATCTATATCGAATCGCTCGTTTACAAACACCTTCAGATTAGCGATAACCCGATTGATAACGGACTGACTGTACAGTTATCTTATTTGTGTGTGCATTGAGTACAAACATATGCGTAGGATTAGTAATATTCATAATCTGAACTTGAAATCAGGATTCTGGCAATAGTATTCCTTTGAGATTATTTTACAGCGTTGTTGACGTTTAAAGTGCGTGATTACAGTCACCGAGTGGCCTTCTCTTTACGATCTATTAAATGCTCATCTGGTTCTCTTTCATTACTGCCAAGACAGATTGTAAACGTAGAAGAAACAGGCCCATAAATATTCGTAGCATTTATACGGTCAATAAGAAATTAAACCCAGATGTACTGACAAAGTGAAGAGCACATTCTAATTTAACGTCAATGAAGAACACCCATTAAATCGTTTTACTAGTATTCCGTGAAGCAATGGAAAATGTATTTTCTATGTTTATAAGTTTAATGCGCTTACAATGAACGCATCTTTGATATGAAAATATGGAATAGAATTTACATCAAATAAAACAATATCTGTTTATTCTAATCGCCGGAAGTAAAA